CACAAGTTTTTCGTCCATAGAGCTGTATTTTCGCGGATTCTCACAGAAAACATCTCACGAGCAACAGGTTTTGCTTCAACAGCTCTTGAGTCAGTGCCTAGGATGATTCAACTAGAATAACTGAAGAAGCAATATATGATATGTAAAAGAGAATATATGAACAAGTTGTTTTGAAAACAAGAAGATTAGGATGCTTCACTGTACCATAAACAGCCAGAGTGACAGCGACACCAACGGCAGCAGATGAAGCTGTTAGATGGTCAGATACGGTCCAGTCGACTAGAGGATCGTACACAAATGCATCCAGTACTGTCAAGAGCACTTCTCGACCTTCTCGCAGTGTCGACAATACGTGTGAGCACGATTCGCGGAAAACGCCCTACAAGATTGAACCGTATGGAGATCTGGAACATTTTCTATTCGTACCTCCACTTGGGTGGGCCCTAGTGCGTAAAGGATATTCTGTGTGAGACGGAATGGCACTGTCTCAGGCACTCTCAAGTGTCGACCCTGAATGGAATATTATTAAACCGTGACACCGCAAAAACCAACTGAAAATTTTTGAAACAACCAACCTTATCAAAGCATATATTATAGTCGATGTGCACGATATCGCCGTGGTCCAAGTTGACAAGCACGTTGTCCAAATGACGATCTCCTAATCCAAGGATGGCTCCTATCATCGACATAACGGCCGTTGACCGTGCGTACCGACAAACCACACGCCACCAAGTATCACAGCTTCCAGCTCGCATCCACAGTTCGCTGCAAATAAAGCGGAGAAATCACCTACTAGATATTTGTGCTTTCAGTCACTACTCGGAAGTTCTGTTGCTCATTGCGCCAAAAATTTCATAACGCTATAGATATATGGAAGTGAAAAAATTGAAAGGTGACTTTAAAAAAGATAGGAAGTTCAAACACTAAGTTCTGTGAACAGAATGCTCCAACTTCTGGAACTACACAAAGAAGTTGGATCAAAAATCGAGTCCGCTTACTCCACAGAATCTATTAAGTCGGATGAACTTATGCCTATAAAGGAATTTTAGAAAATCAGATTGTCAGAACATTAAAGACTATATGCGAGAAGAAGTCTTTTAATATTACAACTGGTTTGAACTTGAACAAAAACCACTTGCATTTCGGGACAAATTTTACTTTAGGGTTACGGTAGATATTGTGGTAGATATAGAATTGTATGACAGAAGAGTCAAAATCAGTGATTTGCCTAAAAAGTGATATACTGAATTAATTTGATATTATAATAATTTCAGAAAAATTCTTCGAACAAACGAATATCGAATATTCGTTCGTAATAAAAATATTCGAACGAATGAATACTATTCGAGTCGCCTTTTAAAATATAATCAAATAATAGAATAGTCTTATAGGATTAAAGGATCTTATATATTCGACTATTCGGATTAACGAATAGTTGGGCATTACCAAATATCGAGCACTCGAATAACAGAATTGGTGCATTTTTCGAATATTCTTCGAATATCTTAGTCAAAAATAATTACGCAATCTCAATCATATTCGATGATTTCGCAGCTATTCGATCGAACAAATATTCGGTGATTTCGCAGGCATTCGAAAGATCGAATAGTATTCGAATCTCAGTTCCAAAATCACTCGAACTCGCATATTCGAGTGTCTATGTTACAAAATATTCGACTATATGAATAATCGAATAAATCGGTTTTTTTCGGATAATTACTCGAAAGATCGAATAGATGCTCTTTTTCGAAAATTTGAATATCGAAAATTCGAATTATTCGAAATGTTCGAATATTTTATTGGAAATGTAGATCCTTACCGTAAAATTAGGGTTTATAAGGAGAGACTGGTTCAACAACATGCTTGAAAAGGAAAGTTAGTTTACTGTGCGAAATCGTTATGACATAGGGAATGGGCATAATTTCTGTAATAAGTAAAGAAATAACCACCAGAAGGCTATTTTTTAGATTGGTGATTCTGTTTCAGTGAGGTATACCTAGTGTAATGCCACAAAAACGTCCTGTTGAAGAAATGGGTATGATTTTTGTAAGCAGCACTTACTATTAACTTACTAAGGTTAAAGTACAAGCTCCTCACGCACCCAAAAAAATTGAGCTATTGGTTGAGCCTTCTTCACATCTTCAAATTCAAACACTTCTCATTTGATAGAAGCGAGATGACTGGCTAAGTCATGTACACTATCTTTCGAAAGAGCCTTATTCTTTTAAGTGTTATATCATAATTTGCAACCTCCTTGCTTTCCAGATTTTTTTAAAGTCTGGAAAACAATACCAACTTATCCGGTAAACCAATGCAATCTGTTGTGTGCAGCTAATAAAAGGGATAGCTAGTGGAAAAGATCTAACCGACTAATCAGATCTTTCGGAGTTTCCTTTACCAAAGAGTTGAAGACTTCCCTCAAAAGATTGGGCGGCCACTTCGACCTGTCTGCGATCACAGCTGCTTCCACATTCTAAAATTAGAGACATTTTTACAGCGTGTTTTCAAATGTTCAACACGAAGTTGGTTTTAAGAATTCAAAACAAACTTCTAGAAAAACAGTAATATGAAGTTGTAAAAATAGCATTACTGCATAACGTATATCATAGAAACATATGATAGAAATAACCAACATGCTCTGTGAAGACACCTCGCATCTTTTTTTGGAAAAGATCAGTTGGTCTGTCTATGTCTAAAGCGGCGGTGGTAGCAGGTACACCACTCTTGCGTTCTAATGAGTGTTTGATTTGTGCCTTAATAGTAGATAATTAATGAAAATTGTTAAGAAGAAACCAATTCTAATCATTACTTGTCTCAACTGCCACTTCCTATAGATGTGGAACATAGGGGTTGCACCGCCAACCCATTGAATCAACCCTGATCGAGTTCCCAAAGGTGTAACCGCATAGTGGCGAGCAGTATATGGCGGCCAACTTCTAAATATCGATGCATCACTCTCAATAATTAAGCTGAAAAGAAATCTGTTACCTGTTGGACGCACTATCGGAGAGCATAAGATTGCAAATATGGAGCAACTGCATTATGCGTTCATCGAGATGGAGATCCTCCTGTCCTTTGAATAGGAACATGTGTCTAAAATATTAGCAGATTAAAGTTTGCTTTTGAGAATAATCGTCGAGCAACTGACTCTTTTCCTTCACTACCAATGAAAGCAATCTTCTTCGGTCTTGTTTTGGTAGGGAGCACCAAAGCATTCTTCACGACGCGATCGATGGTGACAACCTCGCTAAACTCGATGTTTTCCTGGCCAGGAATAG